TTATTTTTTCAACATTTATTTATTTTTGGGACAGAGAGAGACAGAGCATGAACGGGGGAGGGGCAGAGAGAGAGGGAGACACAGAATCGGAAACAGGCTCCAGGCTCTGAGCCATCAGCCCAGAGCCCGACGCGGGGCTCGAACTCATGGACCGTGAGATCGTGACCTGGTTGAAGTCGGACGCTTAACCGACTGCGCCACCCAGGCGCCCCTGCATTCTTGATTTAGATAATCTCTTATTCCCAGTGCTCCTTTTGCAGTATTAATCACTTCTAAGTTTGTGTGACTTTGGTCACATTACTTCTCATCCTCATCTATAATATAAGGTTAACATCATCCTTTTCAAAGAGTATTGAGGAGACAGGGTAATGTGACCAGCCAAGTATCTAAGAGTGGTTTCATAAATATATGTTATCTTTTCTCCTTGCCTTTTCCTCTTTATGGTTTTGTTGGTAGAGAAGGTGATGCAGGTAAAGCAATTAAAATATTTTCCAGGTTATTTCAAGAGCAGTATCATCTCTTCCTATGTTGTCAATAACAAAAATGCATTTTATTGAGCAGTCTGTGTACTTACTAGATATTCTTTGGATGAGGTTTAGACTTATAAAAATGTGAAAGAGGAAGAAAAAAACTAAGAGGACTGCTGTTAGCACTTAATTTATTTACAGTTATGTATACAAGGAGAAGTAACCATAAACTTGGTGACAATAGTCCAAAAACTAATTTTAGAAGTGTTGAAATAAGACCAACAATTCTCAAAGTATATCTATTGCATGATATGAGAGATCCTAAACAAAAGTGGGAATGTGAAAGAATTTGTTTTTCTGACCCTGTAAGATAAATGCACACTGAAATAGATACATATTGTTCTCATAGGAGGTTAATACCAGGCCTAAAGGTACCTCTTAATGATGTTCATCATAAGATCTATGTAAAAACTGAAATGTATAAAAGCAATTCTTACTATAGGTGTTGTCTTCAACAAAAAAAGGAAAATAAATGCATCCTGGAGAAAAGCATACACTGATAAAAGAACTTAGTGCATACACTGAGAATTACTGAAAATCAGAAACTTTTCAAGAAAGTGAAAGTTGAGCGTAAAATATTCAGAATCTTAGGAATACTGTGCTGTATGACAATGTCCTCTGCCTTCAACTGCAGAATTCTATGAAGAGTCAAAGACTAATTGTCATTGCATGTAATCAAAGTATTCTCTTTTCTAAGGCATTCCTTAACAAATGATCCAGATAAAAATTAAGTTTTAAAAAACCTCTGTTTTCATTTAAACATACAGAGGATATTCAAGTGATAATTTCATTAATTGGCTTTTTTTTTGGTCATGCCATTCCAGGTATCTTGGAAGCAAGATTCTAAGGCAGAAACGAAAGTGATACTGGTTTTGTTGCTATATTTAGCTTTTAATACTAGAGTGGGTATTAGTAGTATAGCAGACTGAGAAATACTAGGTTTTTTGTTTTTTTTTTCCTATTCTTGAATTTGGTGATTCAAAGTGATAGGGTCTTTGTATAACAAATTCTGTTCCTTTTACATTTTGTCTAATTTAGATTCCCCTCTCTTCTAATGAGTATAAAATGAACTGATCTTGGCATGTGAATTTTTCTTTTTTAATCAAGCAATAAATTACCTGCTGAAAGAATTAAAAAATGTAACTTAGGTTTGGCCATTTTTTTAAACGCATGTGTGAGAGTATTGAAAATTAACCTTCACAGTAATTGAGCTCAGTAGAAATAGAAATTGTTGAGAGACATAACTCAGAAAATTAAACCTATTAAATAATAATTAGGGCAAATGTTGTACTTGATTAGTTTTAGGATTTTTCTTCTTTCCCTTTGTTCTTTATTGGAAAATGAGTTTCTGTGTGATTGATACTGTGAAAGACACCAAACAAGAAGAACATAAAATTTGTTGTCACTCTAAAGCTCATACATGTATTTATTTATAAATTTATTAATAATCTATTGGTGGCTACTGTGTGATAGGTACTGGAAGAAAATGGTTTCTTTTCATCTCAGCTTTTATCTGGCTTCGAATAAACTGTAGCTGTAGGGAGCACTGCACTTAATACTTGGCAGCTTTTAGCTCCATTTGCATACAATTTAAATATCTTGAAGTAAAATTAGCAATTTATAATTTTCTAAATTTACTTTTAATTTTAATATGGCAAATGATGTAATTCTCAGATCAAGTTAATAAGAGTCATATATAATCAGTCCATTTAGTGTGTTCCTCTAGACTATGGTTTCTTTTTTCTTTACGGGTATTTATTATTTTTAAGGGTGTTATTTTTATTTGTATTTGGTTTGTAGATACAGATCTATAGACTTATTATCACTGAATGAACAAATACATATTGGGAATCAAATCGGTTCCTCTGATAAATCTGTATCTTTTACACTACCTACTTTGCTTCAGATATAATTAGAATCAACTTTTAAGTTTAGGAGAAATGAAGGCTTATTTGCTAGGGATGGTAAGCCAGGAGTTGCTTGGGAAATGGCAGGAATTTATTTTAAACTTACTAAAATACTGCCCCCCTCATAGGTGTTTTGTTAATTTGCCTTCACTTTGAGCAATACATTAGTGATTATAAATACCGATTTTTATTTCTGTAAGGTAATACTGAGCTTTGTCAACGGCATCTTTTACCAAGATACTAGTTATATGTCACTAGGCTACAGCATAACTTACGTATTTTAATACATGAGCAAAAAATTGATGGTTCTAAACTGTATGTAGTTTACTGCTTTCTAAATTTGATAATGTCTTATGTACATTGTTGTTTTCTTTCACTGTATCATTCTATCGCATTTCCCAGAACACCACATACCATCAGATAGCTGTTTTTACTCAAATACAGTCAGTAGTAACTAGGCCGAATTTGGACTTTCCCTAGATTGAACTCTCGAAGCCTTGTCAGCCACAGTTTGGATGGTTATATTATTTTTTAAGTGCCATGACAGGTTCACTTACCTTGTGTAAAATATGCGTATTGCATGATCAGAAATGTGATGACATAGCGTAGGAATGCTGGCTGAGTGGTTCCTGTGTTCTCATAGGCTACACAAAGACCACGTGAGTGACTGAAATAAGGAAGCTTATTTCTTTGTGCTTTAGTTTTCTCATTTTTGAAACTGAGATGCTTGCCCTAATTGTTTTCTATACTGGGATAGTTCAGATTTCTTTTCTTTTTTTTTTTTTTTTTAATTAAGGGAAAAACTAATTCCAAGGCTTATGGTACAATACCGTAACAATAAAAAGAAATGCCAGGTTTTCTTCGTATATGTCATAAGCCTATTAACAACAGTTCCTTATTCCAGATATTAAATCACCTTAAACAATGAAAAAAAATTTAAAAGCCACTCTTTATTGCACATTTACAGTATATTTGACAATCTCTGCGTTAAATTACTAAATTAGATACATTTTGGACATGCACTGCTCTTTTAGACTACTGAAAATTGGTACATTTTTTATATCCTCAAATGAGTAATCCTGCAATTCGGAGAGTTAATATATTTCTCTTTCTATTGGTGGGGATGAGTCTCAGATTTTTTGCATTTACTATTCTGTTCTTACAATAATAAAACATGTTGTACTAATGCTAGCTATTATTAGGTCTACGTAAAAAAACAGCCAGCTTTCCTGATAACAGAACGGGAAATAAGCAGAGATAATTGGAAACCAAAACTGAGTATACCCTGCTAGATTAGTTCCCAGGAAATATAACTTATCTTTAATGCACATAATTTGCCTAAGAATAAGTGGTGATTGGCTAAATATTTTGTCAATAAAGATACTATCTACCCAGATTATAATTTTGTTTTGTATTTTTACAAGGAGGGGAAACCTCAGTCTTTACAATTAAGTATAAAACTGGTATTGTAAAATTAGAGCCCATAAATCCTAAACCAAGAGGAACTAGGAAATCAATAGTGCATCACTGCTAAGTGCTAGACAGACTAGTTCCTGAATAAACCTTAGTTTGTTACATGAAAAACATTAATAAATAAGTCCATTGTTCTCAGACTTTCTATAAACACCAACAATTTATACAATGCAACATTATAAAATCTCATTTTAAAAATGTTTAATTGTTATCTACATCATTTGTGATTGTTCAACTGTACTCAAGTATGAAAATTCCTAAAATGGAAAGAAAAAATAGCAAAGAAAGCAAAAAACAATGAATCCAATGACCCAGTTCACTGAATAAATATAGATGATCACCATATCCATGTCAAACCACCATCCGCGGCTGTCATCCTCAAAGTGCAGATAATCCATTCTATGTGCACCATGTGGGAACTGCCTCCTTGTAACTGGGGCTGCACGTCTGTGGAAACCTAGAAGATGTATGAACACATCTTAACGCTCACTGAATTCAGACAAATGCTCAGAAAGGAAGCTGCATTATGAATACTGGTACCATGAACAGAGGGTATCTTGATTCCACTGAGTGGTAGGTTGTATTCCTGACATTCCCCCCCTGCCGCCCGGCCCCCGCCAATGATAAGAACTATGAGAAGTCTCTTCTAGTTAAGGGTTTTTAGGGCAGGAACAGTAAAATTAGAGTATGGGATATGGAGTCAGGAGACAAGCCTTGTTCTGTCACTTTCTTGGGCAAGCTATTTGATCACTTCGGGTCTCCCAGTTTCTCATCTACACCATCTAATAACTTGATTACCTTTGATCCTCACAGACTTTTAATTTTTTTTCACATGAGAGCATTTTCTAAGTTTAAACTTGTTCAGGTTTTATTTCCACAAGTGCTCTCTGTAACTTCTGGTCACTAACTTAACCTTTTATCTTTTACCGTAAGAAGTTCATTGTTATTTGAGCAAAATTCTATGAGAAAAATGTCTCATTTTAGCAGTGAATAAACTGCGCAGACAAAACAGTAGGCCTTTGAAGAAATTTAGCTTTAATTTTTATAAATTTTGAAGTGTGGGCCTACTTAAGGAAACTGGTATATAAAAAGGAAAACTCAAAAGTAAGTGATAATGTAGCAACAACCTTGAAGAAAATACATGGGAGACGTGAATGTGGAACGTCTGGGCTAAATCGAGATGCTACCAGGTACTTGTGCAGTGGACGTGATTCTATTCCCAGTCTGAGAGTGGGTGAGGCCTCCCTACTTTCACTTATAGAAAATAGTTGGTTCTTTGTTAGATTCCATTACTTTGTGTATTGATTGGCTCTAGCTGGGTTTTCATGCTCTTGACTGCTCTTTGCAGGGTACGTCAAGAGAGACGTGAGCTCTAAAATGAAAGCACTGGTTAAGAACATGGGAGAAGGAAAAGACAATTCCGATAACATGGGAGTGCATAAAGAAAATCATATAAATGAAAACAACGGAAACAGGAAGTACCATTTTACATCTCATTAAAAGGTATTTTAAAAATATAACCTCCTTATACGGTTAAAGTCACATCAGTGGTTGAAAGGAAGACTGGATGAAAAATACAACCAGTCAGTGATTTTAGTGAACTCCAAGTGCTAGCAAATTATAAAACTAACCAACCATCCAACATACAAAAAAATACAAACAGACCAAAAATCCCCTACTATATCCTTTTGCCTCCCAGGGCTCTGAAAGTGAACTATTTGCACTATAAGAAGACAACTGGATCTAAACAAAAGTGTTTGGTAAAGGGACTAATTATGCCAGGAATTAAGTACAGTCAATTAGCATTTAATAATGGTAGGTGTGAGCGTGTTTGTATGTGACTGTGTGTTTGTCAGTGCTTATGTGTTTCGGTTCCTGAAAAACCACTGGCTTTAGCTAAAGAAAACATCGTCTGTATAAATAAAGGGACCATCTAATGGAAACACCATGGGATCTTTCCCAGGCAGTTGGTGGCTTTTCGATTTCAGTTTTCAGCTGGCATTGTTTGACAACTACCTTACAGCATAAGGAAACATGTGTGCACAGGGACTTGACACAGAGTGCATTAGACCTTCTTTCGGGGGTGGGGTCCTAAATGCAGAGCATTTTGGGAAAGCATAAACCGCCCAAGATGGTCCAAGTGCTGAGTCCCAATTTTAGCTGATCAGGCCAAATGGTCATTTGCATTGTGATGTGTTTATTTTGTGGATTTTTTTGTCCGTCCGTTGAAGGCAGTTGCCAGGCAGTGCCTGAGGTTGAACATCACTAAGACTGCAAACCCCTACGAGCGCCAGGAGAATGTCTTGTAGACAGGTGGATCCTGGTTCCTAATTCTCAGGTCAAGGTGATGAGAGGGTGACAGGATCATTTTGTGGCAGCCTGGTGTTTGTACAGTTGGGTGAGGATATCCTTGTAGATCAAAGCCCCTGGGGCCTCAGCCTCAAACGCAACTACCAACAACCCACTATCCAGCAAAGTTCCACCAGGGAACCAAGCCAGGGACCCTGAAAGCTCACAGATATGTATGGCACAGGCCACCCATTGACAGTACAGGCTCCTGGACTTGAGATTCCTCTGGGGTGGCTGGTGATGGACACCATTGTGGCTGCAGCCCCATTTCTAGCTCTGTGTAATACACACAGAAGTGCCGTCCCCAAGGGTACAGAGACCTTCCAAACACTCTGACACAGCCTTCCTCCTACTTTATTAAGGGAGCCATTCTTCCACATGGCTCCCTAGACAAAGCTAAAGTCCCATTTGTTCTGAGGCCACCCTGGCCAGGCATGTTTCAGACATTATAGCCCACTATGTTCAGGCAGTGTAATAGACACTTGCACTCTGTCTACAGAAGCTGTGGGTAGATCTGTACCTATAGAGATCTGAAAGAAGGACAGGGTAGGGCAGGGGAGATGTGGAAGGATTTTAGGACTAGATCTATATCTACAGAGAGATACATGTAATAGACCTCAAGGGAGGGCCTCAAATAAGGAAATCCAAAATTTCTAATCTCCCAGGGTACAACATTAATATTTTGAGGCAGAATAAAAAACCAAGGAAATAAACTGCCAGTGCCCACCTTAAAAAAGTGATAGTTCTTTTATGACTAAATGAAATATATATCTTAGAATTATTGTATCTCCTTGTGAAATGTTGTCCTTTTTAATATGTGCATGCTAATTATTTACAGCTTGAGTATTTTGGTAGTTGCTAGTAACTCTGGTGATAAAGGTTTTCTTAGTGTCAAGCTTGAAGCAGATTGTGGTTCACCATTCTTAACAATGGAAGAAATGTTAAAAATGAGGCTCTAGATCAGGCTGCTTATTCTGATGGCAAGGTTACACTCACTTGGGTATTAGTACAGTTATTTAAAGTCAAATTTCTTGGATGATGGACAATTCTAGATTACTGTTTATAGGTTTTATTTTACATTTTAAAATAAAAAATTGTACATATTTAAGTTGTAAGACATATTCCATATAAAGGCACGTAAAAGCCTACTCTACTGGCGAATTTCCAGTGTCTCTTCTCAGATGTATGATCTGCAAATATTTTCTCCTACTACAGTGGTTGCCTTTTCATTTTGTTGTTTCTTTTGCTATGGAAAAACTTTTTAGTTTGAGGTAGTCCCACTTGTTTATTTTTCATTTTTTTCCCTGAGTTTTGTGGTTATAACCAAAAATCATTGCCACAGCTCATGTCAGGGAACTTAGCCTCAATGTTTTCTTGCAGACTTTTACGGTTCCAGGTCTATTTAACTTTTTTTGAGTAGGTTTTTGTGTATGGTACAAGATAGGGGTCCAATTTCATTCTTTTGCATGTGGCAATCCAGTTTTCCCAGCAACATTTATTAAAGAGACTATTGTTTCCTCATTGTGTATCCCCGGCACCCTTACTGAAAGTTAGCTGGTGGTATAGGTGTCTATTTTTATGCCAGTACCACACTGTTTTGATTACTATAGCTTTGCGATAAAATTTGAAATCAGGAATTTTCTTTCTCAAGATTGCTTTGACTATTTGGGATTCTTTTATGGTTCCATAAGAATTTTAGGATTGTTTTTTTCTATTTCTGTGAAAATGCCCTTGGTATTTTGATAGGGATTGTGTTGAATCTTTATATTGCTTTGAGTAGCAGGGACTTCTTAATATTAAGTTTTCTAACCAATGAACATGGAATAGCCTTCTATTTAGTTGTGTCTTTTCCAGTCACTTTTAATATTTTCAGTGTTGATTTATAAATTATATTTACTTGTATTATGTGGATTATAAACATACAATTTTAAAGGATGAGATAAAGGTGAAATGATATTTTAGAATAAATTAGAGGGCCATAGTTCAAATATATTTTTAATAATTTATGTTTTTTGGTTAACTTCCTATAATATTTTATATTATAATTAATTTTTATAGCCGAAAAAATGTTTACACTAGGATGATGTGTCATCCCCTCTACTTTTTTTGTTTGCTTATTAGTATTATCTCTAATCTGATTTCTTAATAGAATTTTTAAATATTTATTTATTTTTGAGAGAGAGAGAGAGACACAGAGAGAGAGAGAGTGAGCATATGAGCAGGGGAGGAGCAGAGAGAGAGAGAGACAGAATCCAAAGCAGGCTCCAGGCTCTAAGCGGTCAGCACAGAACTTGACACAGTGCTCGAACCCACGAACTGCGAGATCATGACCTGAGCCGAAGTTGGACATCCAATCGATTGAGCCACCTAGGTACCCCTTAATAGAATTCTTTTTAATTAAGGCTCTTGTCTACTTTGTTCTAGTAGTTTATCTGAAACTATATATATATATATATACTGTAAATCCATTTAACTGGGCATATGCAATTTTCAACATATTGTAACACATAGAAAACAAACTAATGAAATCAATCTTTCTGTGTTACCAGACTTCCAGTTTTCCTCAGTTAACATTACATACCATCATAACATGTTGGTATAGGATAGAGGGGAAGTGGGAAGAGTTTTTCTCACATTCAAAAATTATCCTAACACATAACCCAAATATTCCTAAAGTAGTTTATATACGTTTTCAAAAACTTCTTCACAAATAGAGGCTGGAGAACAGGTAACATTGTTAATGGAAATTATTATTATATGTAAAAAATAAGTGATTTTTCTGACCTAAAGGATTATTTATAAACCTTAGATGTTTCAGATTCAAGTTTCACTTGTTTGGGTCAAAGGAATAATGGTATTAATGGAATAGCTACAGAAAAAAGTAGAGCTAAGAGTAGACATGGCACGAAAGATGAGTAGAGAGATCATCTCTGCTATTCCCCAGGACAGTCTCTGTTTACCCTTGTTGTCAGGATATAACTACTAATAGTTCCCCTTTCATTCTTCAGGTAGCCTCATTTGTGCTAATTTCCAGCTTTGAATAACAGAAGGTGATGGTGACCCAAGATGGCTCAGGGTAGTAAGTTCTTTAGGTATGGTGGATAATGA